GAAGATGTGGGCAGCTGTGGAAAGGAGCAGGATGTCCTGAGCGTGTTTGGAGCTTCTCCCCAAACCCAGAGCAGGGAGTGGGGCACTCACCACAGCAGGGACCGCTCCAAGCACCTTCCTCTGGCCAGCTCTGGCTGGAGCAATTGCACCCAGCCACAGGCAGAATTAGCACAGCTGTTTCACAGACCAAGGCACCCTGGAGCTGAACTGGAAAACTACAATGAAATAAAGCAGGATGTTTGTTTACCTCGAGCCTGATACCTTTGTTTTTGCTGTGAAATCTTCCACTTTACCAATCCAAATTTGAGAGTCAGGGAAGTCCTGAAACAAACCTGCAAGGAAACCACTTAAAAATCAACACACACCAGTAATAGAATAAATTTAATTCCATGTCAGGAAGAGATGAAAAAGGGCAAATATAATGGGAACCTACTATTTCTCACCAGCTTGTGAAATGCCCAGCTGTGCTAGAGAGAGAGGGCTGTGCAGGTATTTACTGCCACTATGACTCCTGAATAAAAACCCAGCACTTACAGGATCACACTGGTTTGGCTATCTTTTAATTTACTGTGTCTTTAAATCACCCCTAGATCACCACATGATCACTTCAAAGCACAAACCTTAGTTCTTTTATACCTTACAGCAGCACCTCGTGCTCACTGTACACATGTACCCAGTCCCTCGAGTGCTTCCCATCATAAATAAGGTTACTAGAGCAGCTCTTCACTCAGAGCTCAGGGCCACACTGTACCAAGCCCTGGACAAACAAGCAGAATAGCCTCTGTCCTGGGCAGCTCCCCATCTCATTCATCTGCTCCTGTTCACATTTATCTCACTTCAACAAAGCAAAACCAGTTCCTATTCCTGTGTCTGCTGCAGCACTGAACATGACATCAGTAGTTAACAGCAGCTTTAACTCATTTTATCTAATTTGAAATCTCAAAAATCTTTTAAAAAAATCTAAGTTTGCAGCAACTTTTTCTTTCAGAAAGTTTCAAACTTACTGAGATCCATTTAAAAAACAAAGACAAAAGGCCTAAAGGGCATGGACTGAAAAAAAAATTAATACACAGAGGCTGTAAGGGAATCATATGACAAATGTAACTGAAGCCAGACCACTGAATGAGTAAAAACCATCCAGCAAAAAAGATTGTGTAAGGGTAAAAATGAAGTGTGATAGTCCTGTCACCTTTGGGGCTTCAAGGGATGAGTAATGAAATGTTCTGGATTAGAGCTCATAGAAAACAGGTCTGAAAGGGATCTCCAGAGGTTATCTAGTCCACCTCCATACCCCGCAGCAGGAGCAGCTCTACAGCTATCATTCCTGACAGATGTTTTTCTAACATATTCTTAAGGACCTGCAAGGACGGAATTACCACAACCCCCATAAGCAATCTAATGGTATATTTCATCCTAGAAAGTTTTTGTCACAAAAGTAAATCTCACTTGCTGCAGTTGAAGCCCATCCTTTCTCACTTCATCCCCCATGGACAAGAAGTATTTTCCCACCCCTGTGCAGCAGGAGAAAAAGGCAGGAATGTCGTGACAGACTCAACCACCAGGTTTTCATTTTTGCCATTGCCATTCCCTCTACTCTGTTTGGTTTGTAATCTGATTTTTTGCATGGCATACTAAAAGTAACATGTGGTAACAGGACAGAAACTTTGACTGATCTGTCCTGCCTACAAATGGTTACTCTTAAACACAGGAGGACAGGGATCTGTTGGAGTCAGGACGGAGGAGGCCACAAAGATGCTCATAGGGCTGGAGCACCTCTTGTGAAAACAGCCAGACAGAGTTCAGCTTGGAGAAGAGAAGGCCCTGGGGAGACCTTCAAGCCCCTTCCAGTGTCTAAAGGGACTCAGAGAGCTGGAGTGGGACTTTGGAAAAGAGCAAATAGCGATGGAACAAAGTGTAATGACTTTCAATTGAAGGAGGACAGGTTTAGCTGAAAAGAAAGTAATCCTTCCCTGTGAGGGTTCAGAGGCAGTGGCACAGGGGGCCCAGAGAAGCTGTGGCTGCCCCATCCCTGGAAGTGCCCAAGGCCAGGCTGGAGAGGGCTTGGAGCAACCTGGGATAGTGGGAGGTGTCCCTGCCCATGGCATGGGAGGTGGAATAAAATGAGCTTTAAAATCCATTTCAGCCCAAACCATTTTCTGGCGGATCCTCTCTTCTCTGTAAAGATGAAGGGAGAGTCATGATTCTTCCTCCCATGACCACAGAGCTGGTGTTCTGTGAGGATATGGAGTCCAGCCATTCTCATCTCTCTGACCCTTTCCCTTTCAAGTCACAGGCTCTTGCCAGGAGACAACACTAAAAAATGGGAAGGGGGAGAAACAATAAAGAGAAGAGAGAAGCAGCTGTTGACCATGTTTTCAAGGGACAAGTTTCCAGGTAAACACAGGAAAAAAAGCCAAGTTCTCTAGTCAACTGAAAGCTGTTGGTTTGATGCAGCTACTGCCTGGAAAATGACAATGGACTGTGTCATACAGGATCTCTTATTTGACCTGCAGTATTATGGCATTAAGTATGAGTAAAGCAGGCTTTTGAGAGCAAGGAAGCAGCAGCTGATGAAAGATATATTTTCTTAATAAACACAAAATTATAAGCCAGTACTTTCTGGATATTTATACAAGACAGCAACACCACAGGAACGAAAGCTGTGCGGGGCTTTGTATTTGCTTGGTGAGCTTTCTTTGTGCACTCAAATTCAAAACCTCACATCTTCAGGCTGTTCTCCCCAAATATGTGGCCAAGCATCTTTTCTAGGACAAGAGCTCAGATTTTTGCTTTATCACACCACCCTGACAACAGCTAAGATATTTCTAAAAACCATTAAATATCTTGGAATTCATAACATCAGTACAAACACTACCAACAGGAGAATTCCTAAGGGTATTTCTGACTCAAACAGTACTTTTTTTTTTGTTTATTAGTCCAATGACCTGCTCTGTTTCCTAATGCCAATTAAATATCCAAGAAAAGAGATGAAGGAGTGATGTAAAAGTTGTCCCACTTCCGTTATGCCTTCCAGACAAAAGCTTGTCCCTTTTTCTGAGCCTTTTATAGTCTAGGCAGGTCTCACCAGCATCACCAGCCAAGGGAGAGCTCCTGCCTAAGGAACTGTCTGTCTAAACTCCCCAATTTATTAGAGCTTACAGACATCAGGAGCAAAGAGGTGCAGTCAACAAAGGTAAATTGCACAAGAAAGAAAATATAAACCATCCATTATACACACAAGCCTTGACTGCAGAATTGAAAGTTGTGCAAAACAAAGGGCCCTGATTAATCATTAATTATACCATGTATCTCTTAAAAGCCATACATTCACTTTACCCATCTGAAAGTCACAGCCAAGATGATGTGGTCACTCAATCTCACAGCTTCAAAGCACACAGTAACAAGTTTTCCCCCTTCTGGATCAGTTCCTTCCTCTGATCTCTTTAGGTACATTGACTTATTGCAATTAGGAATACACATTTAGCAGAATCGAAATTAATGGACCTGCATAAAAGGAGTGCCTGGCTCTCTAAGCAATCCCAATGCCAAACTCCTTAGTAAGGAGAAATTTCCATTCAAAGTAATGGGAATACAAAACACTTTAGTCTTGGCCCTTTGGGATTGATTTTTAGAAGAAAGCTGTTTCTATTTCAGTACCAAAGCAAGTAGCCAGACTTTGCTAAGTAGCAACTCTACTTTCATGCTCACCAGGTGCTAAGCCCTTACAAAAAATGTAAAAGAAAGTGGGTTTAAATGTGCTGCCATACCTGTGGTGTTCAATGACTGATCTTGAGTCTTCTGGGGGGAAAAGGGGTAGGAAGGAAATCAAAACCTAACTGTACTTGTTTAAAGTGGACTTCTTTCACCCATCCAAAAATGAGACCTGTCCTACTGTTCCAGCTAAGAAACAGTGATCAAATGCCACTGCCATGAAGACATCAATGGGAGCTTGGATCCCACTCATCAAAATTTTAACTGGATCTTGACATGCTCAAAATTAGATGTTGTTTCAAAAATAATGTAAAAATCCCAAAACACAAGACTCCTGCCATGTTCTCTGAGCTCTTTTCAGTCAAGACTTGCCTTTGAGTCAAATGTGTCTCTTAATTAACAACTAGTCTTTGGAAAATTAACAAAGGATAGCAGTACTAAAGGCTATGGATGTTACAAAGAGAAACAAGAATAATGTTGTTAGCTTTTTGCTATGCTAGATGAGACATTACTGTGCCAGAGGCACAAGTAATGGAAATGTACTTTTATATAAATCTCCTTTCTTTGCTTGGATTATTTTAAATGACTCCACTACAGTGTATATTAACCTAGCCACCAACCTTCCTGCAGTCAGCTTTCTTTTTAGTTTATTAGAACACAACCACCGAGGAATCTCCAAAGGATGGTGAATATCATCACACTCTCCCTTTGTTTGTTAAACACACAGAATGGCCACGCAAGAAACTGAACAAAAAAAGTCTGGGAGGCAAATCTTCTGTCCCTGTCACCGTATATTGAACCCTTTGCATCAGATCTGACATAGGAGCTCCCTTGGCCTTGGCCAGGGGTTGCAATGGACAAGCACCTGAGAACTGCAGCTGTTTCCTTCCCCTCTCCTCCCTGAATTGATTTCTAAATGCCTTTTTTCAGAAGCTGGAGCCCACAGTGTGACTGGTCAAGCTAAAACAGATCAGGGGTCAAGTCAGAAGTACACTCCATATTTCTCAAAAATATCTTTTCCTGTTCCTTCCTACTCCATCCCAAAGCTGTGCCCCACACTGACCAAACACACTGCTACAGGGCTGAATATATATAAAGCCCTTCCTTTTCCCATAGGAAGGTTACACATTGCAAGGCTTCAGTCCCCCAAAAAAGTACAACTGCGTGAACACAGAACAGTATTCAAAACCAAGAGCTAAATATCTTATCACTTTCTTTTCCAGTATGTTGCATTCAACACTTTTCCTAATTTTCCTACCCTGGAGCTCAGATAGCAGCATCCTACTTACTCTGTGAGGGTACAGGGGAAGTTCAGCATTTAGCAATGGTGAGAAAATTGGTTTAGATCCCTGAGGGAAGGTGCTGTAGAAGTGCATTCAATTCAGTTGTAATTCAATCCAGTTTGCTGGAGCTGAAAGAAAACAAAACACTTTCAAAGTTAAAGGGAAAGTCAGTATTTATTTTATTTTTATATGTGTGTGTACATATATAGACACACACATACACAAAAATATTTTTATGTAAACATATATTTATGTATGCTTGTATAATGTATTTTGTTTTTGTCTGTTGGCATATATACACACACACCTACACAAAGCCTTAAAATTTTAGGAACTGAAATCTCTAAGCAGGGCACTAGAAGGACAAGGTTAGCATAAGGCAAGTTCTGCCAGGCATACAGAAGCACACACTGTATGGAAAGGAATAGTTAAAGGCATTTTCTTCTACTATCATAATTTTTTTTCCTCAGGATATGAACAAAACAAAATCAAAGCAATTAAATCATTACTCTGAGGAAAAAAAAAAAACAGTAATTGTGCTTAATCCTCTGAGTTGCTATAATGAACACACCTAATTTACTTTGAGTAAGAGAAAATGAATTTTTTTCCTCCAAAGCTAACAAAGGTTAAATTCAAAGAAACCAAAGTAACTCCCACAGTACTTTCCTCAAAAGAGAGGGGAAAAATAGCCCATGGTGTGTAATTATCTAAAGATAAACAACCAGGAAGGCCCACTGCAAAGTGTACCTGTGATTTATAATGCTAAATAGCTTCCAAAGGGGAGAGCCTGCAACAAGCTCTCTCCCCATTTTTATCTGCATAAGGCAAATTGCAGGGTGGGGAGATGGGGCTCTCCCATTTAAATTCTGCAGTATTATATCCCTGGAAGTTTGATTCACAGCATGAAAACTCCAGTTACACTAAACAAGGCAGAAGAACTGGTTCAGACAAGCAAATTACAAATCTGCTCCTCTCTGACCTCCAGCACCTTGGAAAGAGGAAAGAGCCGCCAGCGCTGTTGCCAGCAGATCTCCCTGAGCTCCTCAGCCCTGGAAGAATTACAGGGGCAACTTTACACATGGATGAACTGTTCTGGAACAATCCTTCTAATGCAGCTGACACAAACAGGCTTCCCTCCAATACCAGGGAAGCGTGTCCCACATGTTTGTTGCTGTTGCACAGGATTCCTGCCGACAGCCCAGCGACATTTCTGCAGGGGAGTTTCTGGCCAAGAGCGGAGCCAGGGTCGTCTTGGGAAAACATGAGTGGGTGGGGAACATTCAGAGCCAATTTCCAGGCCAGACCCTCTCAAGGGCACTCCTGTAGAAATGTGGGCACATTTTTTGGGGTACCGAAGAACTGAAGAAGCAAAAGACTCACTTGTCTCTGGGAGAGATTGCTGAGCTAGGACCCTTCCAGAATTCTAGGTTTAACATTTCAACACTCAGTGATGCACGTTTCCTAAGTGATAAAAATAAAGATGAGCATTTTCACCATTTTTGACATATGCCAACTCAACACATGAGCATTTTCACCATTTTTTACATATACCAACCCAACACATGAGCATTTTCACCATTTTTTTTACGTATACCAACTCAACACATATATTCCCTTGTTTCAGTTCAAAATTATGTCAGTGCTTGTACCCAGGAATTCAGAAAAGGGCAGGACAGATGTAAAGTAGGGGCAAAGGCTGCCAAAGGCCAGTCTCTGAGATCAAAGGGAAAGGTGCCATAGGGAACATCTCTGCTCAATCCCTGAAACCTCAGCACTTTACACTGAGATTTAGTGCCATATGCACTCAGCAGTACATACAGTGTTGACAAAGCTTTTATTTTTAAACAAATAAAGGCCAGAAAGTACAGATTTCCTTAACTCTCACGGGACTTCAATTATGCAGTGCTGCCTCTATCATGTAAGCATATTTTCAGAGCTTTAGCACTTGACATTTTGAGATAAAATGTCATGAATAGTATTTGTGTACCTCTCTCCATCTGTGCCCCTCCACCCCTCCACTTCAACTTGAAATCTTTCAAGGCATCAGACCACTGGTTCAGACCATCTCTTTCCTTTATTTTCTTCAAGTTTAGGATCAAAGACCAGACAGGCTTTAATATTATCTCACAAACAGTTTGCTCTAAGTCTCATTTCAAGAACTTTTTTTCTCTAGTCTGCCCACTACACTAAGCTAAACAATGATTTTTCTGCTCATTAAGTACTGCTGGTAGAATCACTCTTGCCTATCAGGAAGACTCTGCTGCCTGTTTGCTTCTCCTGTCTTTCCTCTTTCCAGCCCAGGACAACAGCCTCTGAGAGAAATCAATGGCCCCTGCTCAGGTCAGAGCACTTTGGCCTTTACATTGTGCCAAACCTGACAGTTTTCTCAACTGGAGACTCCAAATTTCAGTTTCCCATGCTTTCACTCTGATCTCCTCATGCTCACCCCCTTAAATCTATCCTCATTTGCCTCCTCTCCTGAGCAAGAAATGAGAGGCAAATAGGAGGCACAAAATTTAATAACAATTATCAGTGAACTTCCAGTTTGCCTTGGATGTGAAGCAGGGACATAGGAGACTGTTTTGTCAAGTTAAGCCAGTAAGAAGAGGGAGTTCAATGGTGCTGTGTGTGTGCGACTGGTTTCTCCACTGGAACGTGGATTTATCATCAAACTGAAGGACAGTCATTAATTTTATCACACTCTTCTGAGCACACAGTTGTGGTGAACCCACCTCCTGGAAAGTACATTTCAGATGAATTTTCTCCACCTGAAAATGGGGAGAATCTATATCCCAGCACCCACTTTTCTTATCTGATACAAATATGCTGCTTTCCAATTTCACTCTATCTTGTCTGTACTTTTATCTAGCTTTCCTCTAATTGTACAGCTCTTCCTGAAAGGTCAATTGTTCCTCATCCAGCTGATGGCTTTCCAATGGACTCTGAACTGATTATGAGCCCCTGCCTACTTTTAAGAGCTATGGTGAAGATGATGCTTGGCATTATTAAGATGTGATGTCCTGTCAAGGATGCCTTCACAACTGGAAGAGCTGATGCAACAGCTCTGAGCTTGGAGAAAAAATAATAATGATTTTTTTAAAAGTTGCTTTTCTTCTTCTCTAGTATTTGCCCTGTGCTGTCAGGCTGCACAGGGTGCCATGCTCACATCTGTTATCCAGGCCCCCGAAGGAATCCTCCACAAGAGTGACTCTGCCTGCAAAGCAAACGGGAGGAGTTTGAAGATGGCATGTGAAAAGCTGCCACAGGTCTTCCAGAAATCAGAAATCTTGGCTGTTCATCTCCTGAGAGCTGACCTGGGGCACATGAAACCACAGTGCCTGTGAAACACGAAGCAATCACACTGAACTCTCCTGCAGCCATTTGCATTTTCAACAATTTCTCTTCAGAGAGATGCCCTGTGCCTGCAGGAATATTTTGCCTCTGTTCACAGGTGACTTTTAATCCAAGTTAGAATCTGTTGGCTCTTCTTTTTTAGTTGGCAGTGAAGTTGTGGCTCTGTTAGATTAATGTTCTTTTCTGTTGCTTCTTGTATAAAATTCCGGGAAGATGTGGCCTCCAACACCAAGATGCGGTCCCAGAACACCAGGGCAGAAATAAAATAGTGTCGCTATTATTGAAAGTGCTCAGCAAATCCTACTCTGAGAGCAGCTGTTGAATAAAAATGTTCAGTCTGGCCAGGGAAAAAAGTGTGAAATAAACTACAAATGTTGAATTATAAAGCTTGAAATTCACAAATATGTATTAATCCTTCAGATTTGTTACCCTGATGTCTAGGATTAATTCTTTGTTTTTTGTTTTGGTTTGGGGATTTTTTTGTCACATGGGGACTTTACTAAAGTGATCAATTTTGAATATAAAAAAATAGCTTAGGACATGTCTAGAAGTACAGCAAAAGGAACGTTTTCCAGAAGGCAAAGACAAGGCTTTATGGTTTCGATATTATTTTTTTTTCCATTGGGGGGGTTCATGGGATTTGTACTTGAGCTCCTTCTGGGTATTTAAGCTCATAAATACTACTGAATATATTAATGACCTCAAAGTTCTGGTCCCTAGAGTTAATGTAATTAACCACTGAAAGTCTTTGCTGTTACAAATTAAATCAGATTGTGTCAGAGTTCACAGGAGGCAGCAAACCTCAAAAAAGCTGATCTGTCCTCTCTGAGATGTAACTGAGCACTTGTTTCCATGTAAGGATGTTATTAATAGATGTACAGCCCACTGCTTTATTGAGAGAAACACTTTTAAAAGTAAAAATGGGGCAGCTGAAAATGCATTTGCTTCCTTAAAGACCCTCAGCCCTCCCATCCAGCAAGGTGAAAAGGTGAAAAACCACTTGGAAATTCACCTAAAAGCCTCCTTTCCTACCACCACTCCAGTCACTACAAGAAAATACAAACATCTCATCAGATGAAAGTTAATAGAGATGAAGGGATTACACAATACTGGAAGAGGGTGGCTAATCAAGCTGTTTCTCCAAACAGGGCAGTTTTCATCAAAATGACAATTAAGGGGGAAATAGCCACCCTAGAAAGTATTGGGATTTCTAAGAGTCTGTGTCCCAACAACACCTCTTCTCAGAGAAGCAGCTCATTTTGGTGCACACCAAAATTCCACACTGCCAAGCACACGTGTAACCCTTTCAACTCCTCTTCACACTCATGTGCTGCAGGGTCAGCAGATCCGAGTATGTGTAAACAACAATTAAACCCAGAGCCCCTGAGGTAGCATCTGCTCCCAGCACAGTGAGAGCTGAAGGGCTCCCTGCTAAGGGACCTCACCCAGCAGAAAACATCCCATATTTGAGGGAAGATCTTAGCAAAAGAGAAGCTCAAAGTCCAAAGAAACAGGAGAATTGGGGCAGTCTGCAAATAGTAACCCAGCTAAAGGAAATCCTACCAAGCCACAGTAACAAAACCAATGTAAATTCTGCTTTCAAGAAGAGAAAAATCTCACTTGCTACTTCACAGGACTGGGCTGGCCCACCACAAACAGCAAGGATGAGTGAAGGGAGTCTGGACTCCTCATTCAATTCTGCCATTCCTGCAGATGGGAGCATGAGAAAATTCAACATCTATATCTACTAGATACGTTGAATTATTCAAAAAGTAAAGTGCTAGATTTGGGTCAAGCAAACAGGACCAGAGGCCAGGTGTCAGTGCTGTGGTCAGCAGAGCACAGAATGGTGACAGCCACAGCAGAGCCTGCACTGTAGGCACTGATCAGAGCTTCTGAAATAAGAGTGTGTTTCCAGAGAAACAAATGGGGTTAGGAGCTTAATTCCCCATAAATGAATTGCCTTTCTAAATTCAGCAATGGCTTTTTTGCTCATGCCAAATATTACAAGTTGCCCACAATCCCCCACCCTCTGTGCCGAAGCAGTTATCTGTCATATTTTTTTCTCCATCAAAATGGGAAATAAAGAAAAAAAAATAGTAGATGCAATTTGTTCAATTAATAGGACAGTTTCTTACTAATGTGGTATTTTAAGCTTTGTGCAAGAGGTGTTTTCCAAACTACAGCACTTTGAGTGTGCAGGTATTAGCAAGAATGTGTCTCCTGTTGATCTCCCAGTCAACAGTGTCGTGAAAATCAGACTTCTTTCTTGCCATTTTACAGCCACTTGTCTCGAGCTGACACTGTACAGGCTTTTCACCGCTGGCATCAGATGTCTCCCAGTCAAGAGAGTGCGCTCGACACAAACTATGACAGTGTCGTGAAAATCAGACTTCTTTCTTGCCATTTTACAGCCACTTGTCTCGAGCTGACACTGTACAGGCTTTTCACCGCTGGCATCAGATGGGGTATCAGCATCCAGAGCAGCCTCAGCAGCTGCTGGATGAAGAGTTTCTATGATTACCTTTAAAAATGTCAATCGTTTGCCATGTTCAGTATTCAGGTTTGTTCATCAGTTAGTAATAACATCCCTAGCTGAGCTGAAAACATGTTCTGAGTGAGGGCTGGGGAATGGAAAGCTTAAACAGTTGACAGCAGTTAGAGATGAAGCAGACTATGCTGTTCTTTTCTGAAAAGAGGCTGCAGTGATTCCAGCAGGCTCCTGAAACAGAAGAAGCTGCAAGATTATGGAAACAGACCTTTTCTTCTAGTTTTTCTGACAGCTACAATTCTACATTCCTCAGCCCTGTCTTGCAATTAAAAGGGGAAGATAGCAGAAATAGCTGAAGAAGCAAGAACACAAGAAAAGAAAAATAAGCTGATTCCAGCTACTCTTCTCTTCTCCATGTATGCTATACACATTTCATTATTAGATTAGAAGCATCTTCCAGCACCATCTCCACAGGCTTTGAAATTGCCACCATAAAAGTACATCACAGAAGTTATTTTTAAACTGTGGATTTTGTTACAGAGAGAATCTCATTTTAAAAAATTTAATGGAAGGAAAGCATTTATTAGAAGACTATGACAGCTGAGGGGAAAAAATA